CCACCCCCCTCCCTCCCTCCTCTCTATCTCTGTCTCTCTTCAGGAAGAACAGGTGGCTTTATTTCTATCACTTTGATGTAATTTATTTTATTAAAGATGGTATGTTCTAAAATGAAGAAATATAGGGATGTGTGAATGCCATGGGAAATGGAAAAGCACTTGTAGCCTTACTTCCCAGTTCCCTGATTAGAAAAGTGTGATTTTACATCTCTATCATTATGTTTCTTCTTTCTTTTCAATGTATGCATATGTAGTGTCTGTTGAGCAGTCATTTCTACAAGTCGGATGAAGAGGTTTCGGGTGATTTGTAGAAGTGAAGTTCGTGTCTGTATATGTATTAGTTAGTTCCTGCTCTAGCGCCTTGCTTCCATGGACAACTGAAGGCAATATGGAGGCGGTAAGTGGTGACAATGGGTGAAAAATTTACAACTCTATCAAGGTTTGAGTTGAATGTATTTAACCGCGCCTGCTTTTAATTATGACTTCTTGATCGCATAATGTAGTAATCTGTTCCAAAGATCAAATAGCTGCAACAGGAATGACTAAAGTAAGGTCGAAAAAGAGTAATGATATCTTTTTGGATCCTTAATTAGCTGCCTTTAGTTGTATTCGAATCTATTGCAGCCTTTAGAGCATGAGTATCAAACAAATATACTTTTTAGTATTATAATCTTGCTCATTTACATGCACTAAACACAAGGTCAAGTGCTTGGGTTTTGGACCAGCAGAGAGTAGAAGTTAATCGAACTTAGAGATTGACCAATTTTGCATCGTCCAAAGGAGCTAAAATGTCTGGTTTTAGTTTCCTCGTGTAGTTGGTACATAGCCCTATGCGCTATGTGTATGGTAGCAATCTGCGTAACTCTTACGTTTTCTCACTGTATATTTAGGGGTGGTAAAATGAGTAAAATTTACGGTTATCCTGTGACTCGTGAGTGGCTTGAACCAACCCATTTTAAATAGATGAGTTATCCTAGTGGGTCAAATATAGATTAACCATATTTTTTTTGATGACAAGGGAAAACCCGCAGCCGCTACCCTTTGGGTGCGCACAGGGTAAAACCCCCACTCCTATGCAATAGCTCACAAACCACATAGGAGAGGTAAACCGCACTAGGCAAGCCTGGTGCGACGAGCTCGACCCAAAAGGCAAACCCCTTGCTTTCGCTGGCAAGGGGTTTCGAACTTGAGACCTCCAACATGGAAGTCCCAAGCTCAAACCACTGGGCCACCCCGAAGGGTTTAACCATATTATCCATCATAAAATATGAACAATTTATGGATAGTCATTCACAAATTGCACTTCCCTTAAAATATACGGTATAATTGAAGTATTGAACCCTTTCTCGCACTTGTCAAACATTGTCTTAGATTTGCCTCAGACTTCTATAATCTTGTCTACGTGCAAAAATCACCGTTCTCAACGTAATTCTATGCGATTTTAATACTCAATTGATAGTACTTCTACTATTACTCCTTTTGTCCTTAATTACTTGTCTAATTTTTCTTTTTGGAAAAATCCTTCTGGCCAGAAAATTTGGCTAGAATTTGGCCAGGATGGTCGTTTAGTTATATTATTTTACCTTTTTGAACATTTTTACCCTTTTAACTTTAATACATTTTAATTAAAAAATGGAAAAAAGATCAATTTATTTTAAAATTAAAAAAAAAATTATAAATTTTTTAAAATTTTGGCCAAATTTTCTGGCCATTTAGCATTACCCTTTCTCTTTTTACTTGTCTATTTTGACAAATCAAGATTTTTTTTTTACCTATTATACCCTCAATTAATTAATTTTGAAAAAAATAGAATTTGTGAAAATTTTAAATTTTAATTCATCTATTTCATAATTAATAGGGGTAAATGATAATTTCAATATGTCAATAATTGTTTTCTTAATATGTTTGTCCCCAAGAATACTTGGGAAAACATTTGGGAAGTGGTGTTTGGTCATATAACTTGACAAATATATTTGCCAAGTTTCCAAATACTAGAAAAACTAGTATCTGGTTCTAGTATTTAGGTCAAGTTCTACTATTTGGAAAATTTTAAAAAAATTAAAAATTACCTCAAACTTTTATATTTTATAAAAAATACCCATTATTTATTAATTTCAACTAATATTTGTTACTATCTCCTCTTAAAAAGTTTGAGTGATAAAATTAAGAAAAAAGAACAATTTGTGTTTAATGAGTTATAATTATAACTGAATCAGTGACAAGTTTTAGTATGTGATTAATGTATTGTCTTGCCTATATTGTTATTTTGTTATTGTTGATTGTTATCAATTATATTATAAGATTATTTTTTAACTGAACATATTTATTATAAAATAATAATATAAATTTATGGATATTTTTAATAATTTTTAAAACTTATGGGTATAAATCATATTTTGTAAAATAGTGAAATATTTTTTGAAAAATTTGGGGTCAAATATAATTTGCCAAGAATATTTAAAAACTTAGGCCAAATGTTAATAA